CTTCGGAAGAAAGAATTATTCTCCTTTGCAGGAGGTTGTTAACGCTGTCAGGAAAGAAATTTCCAGAAGTAGGAACAAAAGATAATGACAGGACTACACGGACTCCCCTCGTGAACTACTACAATCGTGGACGAAAGTCCTTGGGACACTTGTGTAATGTAACGAGTTATCTGTGTTTTAGAACTGAAGTTTGAAAAAAAGCGCTGCTATATCCTTTAAAAACGCGTTGCTGTCGCCCCTCTCCACCCAACACAATGGTACTAGTTTTCAACATTGAATGGGGGCTGGGGGACGAGGTTAGGCAGGTGAAGTTGTGTTCGCGTCTGGTGTGTGCGCAAAAGCGCCAAAAGCGCAAATTTGTCCCAAGACTTTCGTCCATGATTTTAGTTTACACTGTACTGTCACGCAATCAAAAAAAAAAATCGTAACCATTCAATAAAGTTAAGTCTGGGATATGATAGATGAACGACCTCTCCAAAATTTAGGTCTGTGCGGTTATTCATTCGCGCGTTATTCGGAAAAGTGTCTTCCCCAAATTTATAGAGCTTTGTATGGAGACGCCATGTTGATGCCCTTCGCCTCGAAGGCACACGTCAATTGATAGAATGCCATAAAACATCTGTTATTGAGTTTACCATTGAAACAAAAAATAATTATTCTAGAGTTCCGACACATTGAAAGTAATGATTTTTCCATTGCAAGAACTGTTCAGTTTTTAAAATAGCAAAAACTTGAGCGATGAATCCTCTTTTGGCCTATGCGAAAGCCCTCTCGGGCCGCGTTTTATTGTCATGCAACGCAAAAACTTGGAAATTCAAACGTCCTCTATAACAAAATGAGGAACGCTGTCGATCATAAACGTTTTAAAACGTCAAGTTCTTAGAGGGTCTTGTATCTGATGAAACTAAAACTTCAGAAGGATTGGTTCTCTTGTATGATATAATCAGAGGTTTTGTATAGACGTTTTTCAGCAATGGCTAGTTCTATAGTACAACCCAGTTATTCATTAATTCATTTTTTTAGGCTTCGTACTGCTGGGCGATATGCTGCCTGCTCTGTTACAATGTATGTGAGCCCGCAGTCTTAACACAAGCGGCAAAGAAAGATGAAAAAAAGAGTAGCGAATGAAAAAAAAAAGTCGCGGGTGAACAAAAGAAGTCGCGGATGAAAAAAAAAAGTCGCGAAGGAAAAAAAAGTCGCGGATAAAAAAAAGAAGTCGCGGGTGAAAAAAGAAAAGTCGTGGTGGATAAAAAAAAAGAAGTTGCGGGTAAAAAAAAAAAAGTCGATGTCCCTTTCAGGCCACCGTAATTTCTACTCCCCCCTGGATGGGATGCGAGTCCATCGCAGGGTTACCCCCAGCATTAAATTTGCCGGTACCCATTTGCACACCTGGGTGGGGAGAGGCACTGTGAGAGCAAAACTAAACAACACAAATTCCCCGACCAGGGTTTAAACCCAGACCACTCGATCCGGAGTCGAGTGCACTAATCATGAGGCCACCGTGTCTCCACAAAGTCGAAATTGGACACCTGTTAGTGGACACCCACGTGATAGCGCACCAATTACGTGACAAATAGGCGCGAGAACCAATCACGATCAAGAATTTTGTCATAGATATGATGATGATGATGATAATAACAATAACTAATGATAAAAGTAATGATTAAAAACACCACCATCTGTTCAAAGTTCTTTATTAAAACGTATCAATTAAATATTGTTTCCACAAAAGAAAATTTCGTCAAAGTATTAAAACACCAGAAGCTTTCCCTAAAGATTAAATCAGATTTTCTTCTTATTGGAGACAATCAGTAAACAATTCAATTGTACAAGCAGTGCAACACCAAAAAAACAAGTTAACATATATTAACAATAAATCTACTATTACTTAACCCTGCAAGGCTAAGATTCTCTTTTCCTCAATGACTTGTTAGCAAACAGGGACAACTAGATTGCTGAATCACAATGCACCTATAGTATTAATTACAGTGAGACTACGTCAGCCAAGGTCACGCAAAAAATTGAAATAACAACCTTAAATGTTAGCAATAAATTTTCCAACAACTTATTGACCTAAGCAGGCTGCAAACTACAGATTGAAACAAATTGTGCCCATTTTTAATTGTTTCAACACTGAAAAACAGATTGGTCAATTTTCAACAAAATTGATTGGATGGAGTTGTGACACTGCAAGTTATTTGATCAACTCAATAACTTAATGAGCATTTTTCATTTGATCAAACAACAGTTGCACTGATTTCTGTAATGACTCAAAATTAAAATGCCTGAGAGTTGTGAAATAATTATAGCTAGTAATAACCGTTAGCAAGCCACGCTTTTACAAACCTAGGGCAAGTAAAACATTTATTTCTTTTTAAGACGTTTGACCAGAAATCACAAAACAATAAACAGAAATGTCATACTAACAGTAATCAAACTGTTAGTTTAAATCCACATTTTCAAAAATGTTCTTTTTACAACTTTACACATTATTGTCTTGTTACTAAATTATGTACAAAATAATGTATCCAGTACACCTTGTTTATTTTTACAAAAAAATTCAACGACCTAACAATTAATATTATCCAGAGCAGTTACCTTAATTATTTTATCAATTTTGTATAGAGACTGTGAAACTCCAAGAGTTTGACCCAAAAGAAGTTTCGCTGCAACGTGAAAATTTTCAACTCTCTTTATGGCATGAAGTCGATTCAAACAAGTGCTTACAGCAAAATACCATCTAAAGATTCCTAAATGCTATTTAGGCAAAGATTCTCAGTGAAAAATCAGTTAAACGTCATAAGAAACAGTCCAAGAAAAAGAAAATGTGCTGTTTGCTAGTTGTTTAATATTGACATTGTTAGTGAACCCCACATACATGAACCCAATCAAACCATTGTCTCTTATCTCCTTGACCATAGTTAATAGAGGAAAATGGCTATGAAACCTGGCAAAGTTCTTTGTTGTATGTTTTTGTTGGCTATTTTAAGGACTGACCCTGAACAAAACCTGACAAAACGTGGTAATGTGAGCTCATAATCCTAACCAATAGAAGCACTGCGATAACGTAATTCATGCATAGTCTATGAGCATAAGACAAAAGATGTGCGGGGTCAAGGACCTTCCAACATAAATCTTAGCCAGGTTGTTTGCTTCTTTGATGTTTACCAGCCTTCCCAACCATTTCCCTCTATTACTATGCCTTGACTAATCAATGGCAATTGAGGCTCTACAGTCAAAGTACAAACACCTTAACTGAAACTGACTTAAGCTCACAAAAACACTTCAATAAGACAAAATATCCTGAGGGACTGAGATATTATTTCAGTTTCAGCTAACTAATTTAATGATCAAATCTGATTTTTTTTTTTAATAGTAACAATAATGTTATATTTTGTATGAACTGTGAATAATTCTGCCACAAATTCACTGAAATGGATGCAAGGGATTTTAGTACATGTGCTATGTCATATATAATTTTTGTATCTTTAGTGGCCTGTATGTGTTGTGAGGCTTGGAATGAGAAAATACCTGTAGCACCAGCCATAGTGATGTGCAAAATTGGTTAAAAAACTTAATTTAAATTTCAGTGCACATCACTGAAAATTGGTAACTTTGGTAATAATATTTGCAGGCTAAACCAATCGCAAACAAGCAACAGATGGGGGTGGGGGCACATTTGAATGAATGAACCATGTGCAAAACACTATCGTTTCTGCTTTTTAACCCACACAGTGATAGCAATTCATATCTGATTAGCAAAGAGTTCAGACAATGCAAAACTGAGGCAAACCACAAAACAGTTTCAAGCATGCTTAATACGAGCGACCTAACTGAGGCATATAGTGATTATACACTTACCAAGCTAAACATGTCTGCGATGAGCGACAAAGAGGCAAAAATGTTATCTTGTATGTGTTTCATTGAATGGCTAACAACTGACCCTTGCACTGTTGAATTGTCAAAAACTTTACCCTGAGTTCATAAATAACAAAACCTGTTGAATATTGTGTGCATGGTATGTATAAGAATAACCGACATGTGGAGACTAGAAGAGGTACACCAGACCACAAGGAGATTTCCACGTCTAATGCACATCAGAATGTGGGATTGTGTTCCATGGAATGATAGCATCTACGGGATGTTATGAGCTATACATCTCCGTTATTCTCAAGTGCTAAATCCTCTCCCATCTCTGACACTACAGCTATAAGGACTGTTATGTCATCTGGTTTCCCGCCAGTTATGTTTATACCCTCACATCTAGCTTGCTTAGCAAATGGTGATACATAATGTGGATCAAATGAATGGGCTCTTGCTAAATTTGCTAGTGAATCAGTAATGTGTTGGATACTTTCTGTGCTGTGATCCTGAAAAAAACAATAGACAAAACAAATCACTGCCATTACAAATTCTGTAGATTAGTAACAATGAAGGTGAGTGCAGGTTAAATGTTTAAACTGCCATCCACACGAGACTAATCCAAGTTTATGTTGCAAAAAATAATTTAATATGTCATCAATGCGCCATTTCCAAGTTCCCTTGTGCCTCTGTTTCAAAACAAGTCTACAGTAAGTGCTAAACCATTACTATGAAAATAACTTTGATTTGCATGAAAATGAAGCTGTAGGCGCAACACATCTTCATATGAATAGTTTCGCACTTAGACTCATTTTGACACAGAGGCAAAAGGGAACTCGAAAATCACCTATTCTAAGTATGGATGACGACTTTCAGCCCAAATATCAAAAGTGTTACTGTTTTGCCTGAGAGCAGGTCCAACTTTTATCAAGCTACAAAACTGGTAGATATGTTGAGTTAATTTTTAGGGAAAGGTTGATTAAGTTGTTCCACTGAGAAGGTATTTAATTCCATACATGTATTTAAGTGATGCGCATTTTGTGGTTAGGGAAAAAATTGATGATTTTCAAGTGTGGATGTTTTTACCAATGTTAAAATTTGGAAGAGACTAGATGTTTTTGTAGTTTTTGAAAGAGCAAAAGAAATTTTGTTAGCCTAGTGTACATTGTTTTTGTTCTGAGGGGAAAAGAATTGATTGCAAAAACATATTGCAAACACACCTCCAATTGTGACAGCTCCTTAAGTATTTGTTCAGTGGAAACATTATCGAACAGGCCATCAGTGGCCAAGACAATTAAATCTCCCAGCTCCACACTGAAGGACGTACTTTCTGCTTCATCCAAACTGCAATAAAAAAAAAAACACTATGTTAATGCTGATAGTTTCCTGAATAACAAAACCGTGAATTATTCACAATTACTCGCAAAACACTAGACAAGTACGAATCTTAACATTGGTGTCACAATAGCGCTAGTTCAAATGTGCACTGTCATTAAAACGATTGGAAGGCAAAGAAGACTGTTTGGGCTCCACTCTCTGACACTCATCACACCTAGAGAATTTATCAGGCTACATATAGCCGCTCATCCACGGTGGAGCAGAGTTCTTTCAATGTGGCAGTGCAGCAGGCAAAAGAGCTTTCCGAGTCTCTGTTACTCCAAGATGTTCCACTTTTCAGGTGGAATAATAATAATGATAATAATAATAATAATA